TCAGTGTGGCAGATGTGTTGTTACCTACCCTTACTACCTGGGGGCGGCCCGTCAGGAAGTCCAGGATCCAGTTGCAGAGGGAGGTGTTTAGTCCCAGGATCCTTAGCTTAGTGATGAGCTTAGAGGGCACTATGGTGTTGAATGCTGAGCTGTAGTCAATGAATAGCATTCTCACGTAGGTGTTCCTCTTGTTCAGGTGGGAAAGGGCAGTGTGGCGTGCAATAGAGATTGCATCATCTGTGGATCTGTTGGGGCGGTATGCAAATTGGAGTGGGTCTAGGGTTTCTGGGATAATGCTGTTGATGTGAGCCATGACCAGCCTTTCAAAGCACTTCATGGCTACAGACGTCAGTGCTACGGATCGGTAGTCATTTAGGCAGGTTATCTTAGAGTCCTTGGGCACGGGGACTATGGTGGTCTGCTTGAAACATGTTGGTATTACAGACTCAGTCAGGGACATGTTGAAAATGTCAGTGAAGACACTTGCCAGTTGGTCAGCACATGCTCGGAGTACACGTCCTGGTAATCCGTCTGGCCCTGCGGCCTTGTGAATGTTGACCTGCTTAAAAGTCTTACTCACATCGGCTACGGAGAGCGTGATCACATAGTCATCCGGAACAGCTGGTGCTCTCATGCATGCTTCAGTGTTGCTTGCCTCGAAGCGAGCATAGAAGTGGTTTAGCTCGTCTGGTAGGCTTGTGTCACTGGGCAGCTCGCGGCTGTGCTTCCCTTTGTAGTCTGTAATAGTTTTCAAGCCCTGCCACATCCGACGAGCGTCAGAGCCAGTGTAGTACGATTCAATCTTAGTACTGTATTGACTCTTTGCCTGTTTGATGGTTCGTCGGAGGTCATAGCGGGATTTCTTATAAGCGTCCGGGTTAGAGTCCCGTTCCTTGAAAGCGGCAGCTCTACCCTTTAGCTCAGTGCGGATGTTTCCTGTAATCCATGGCTTCTGGTTGGGGTATGTACGTACGGTCACTGTGGGGACGACATCATCGATGCACTTATTGATGAAGCCAGTGACTGATGTGGTGTACTCCTCAATGCTGTCTGAAGAGTCCCGGAACATGTTCCAGTCTGTGCTAGCAAAACAGTCCTGTAGCTTAGCATCTGCGTCATCTGACCACTTTTTTATTAACCGAGTCATTGGTGCTTCCTGCTTTAGTTTTTGCTTATAAGCAGGAATCAGGAGGATAGAGTTATGGTCAGATTTGCCAAATGGAGGGCGAGGGAGAGCTTTGTATGCGTCTCTGTGTGTGGAGTAAAGGTGGTCTAGAGTTTTTTTCCCTCTGGTTGCACATTTAACATGCTGGTAGAAATTAGGTAGAACGGATTTAAGTTTCCCTGCATTAAAGTCCCCGGCCACTAGGAGCGCTGCATCTGGATGAGCGTTTACCTGTTGATTAATGGCCTTGTATAACTCATTCAGTGCAATCTTAATGCCAGCATTGGTTTGTGGTGGTAAATAGACAGCTATGAAAAATATAGATGAAAACTCTCTTGGTAAATAGTGTGGTCTACAGCTTATCATAAGATACTCTACCTCAGGTGAGCAAAACCTCGAGACTTCCTTAGTATTTGATTTTGTGCACCAGCTGTTGTTTACAAATATACACAGACCGCCACCCCTTGTCTTACCGGAGTCAGCCGTTCTGTCCTGCCGATGTAGCGTATAGCCTGCTAGCTGAATGTTATCATTGTCGTCGTTCAGCCACGACTCGGTGAAACATAAGATATTACAGTTTTTAATGTCCCTTTGGTAGGATAACCATAATCTTAAGTCATCCAATTTATTTTCAAAAGATTGCACGTTGGCTAATAGGATTGATGGAAGAGGCAGTTTACTCGCTCGCCGTCGGATCCTTACAAGGCACCCCGATCTACGTCCACGATATCTCCGTCTCTTCCTCACGCGAATGACGGGATTTGGGCCTTGTCGGGTGTCTGTATGATATCCTTCGCGGCCGCCTCGTTGAAGAAAAAATCTTCGTCCAATACGAGGTGAGTAATCGCTGTCCTGATATCCAGAAGCTCTTTTTGGTTATAAGAGACGATGGCAGAAACATTATGTACAAAATAAATTACAAATAACGCGGAAAAACACACATAATAGTACAATTGGTTAGAGGGCTGTAAAACGGCAGCCATCTTCTCCGGCGCTGTTTTCTTTGCGAGCTGTGGCAAGAAGGTTTGCTGTGTCTGTCAGCGTAGTGTCCAGAGCATGGAGGCGCTAGCAGGAGACAGGCAAGTACATCAGGAGACGTGGAGGAGGCCGTAGGAGGGCAACAACCCAGCAGCAGGACCGCTACCTCCGCCTTTGTGCAAGGAGGAGCAGGAGGAGCACTGCCAGAGCCCTGCAAAATGACCTCCAGCATGCCACAAATGTGTCTGCTCAAACGGTCAGAAACAGACTCCATGAGGGTGGTATGAGGGCCCGACGTCCACAGGTGGGGGTTGTGCTTACAGCCCAACACCGTGCAGGACGTTTGGCATTTGCCAGAGAACACCAAGATTGGCAAATTCACCACTGGCGTCCTGTGCTCTTCATAGATGAAAGCAGGTTCACACTGAGCACGTGACAGACGTGACAGAGTCTGGAGACGCCGTGGAGAACGTTCTGCTGCCTGCAACATCCTCCAGCATGACCGGTTTGGCGGTGGGTCAGTCATGGTGTGGGGTGGCATATCTTTGGGGGCCGCACAGCCCTCCATGTGCTCGCCAGAGGTAGCCAGACTGCCATTAGGTACCGAGATGAGATCCTCAGACCCCTTGTGAGACCATATGCTGGTGCGATTGGCCCTGGGTTCCTCCTAATGCAAGACAATGCTAGACCTCATGTGGCTGGAGTGTGTCAGCAGTTCCTGCAAGAGGAAGGCATTGATGCTATGGACTGGCTCGCCCGTTCCCCAGACCTGAATCCAATTGAGCACATCTGGGACATCATGTCTCGCTCCATCCACCAACGCCACGTTGCACCACAGACTGTCCAGGAGTTGGCGGATGCTTTAGTCCAGGTCTGGGAGGAGATCCCTCAGGAGACCATCCGCCACCTCATCAGGAGCATGCCCAGGCGTTGTTGGGAGGTCATACAGGCACGTGGAGGCCACACACACTACTGAGCCTCATTTTGACTTGTTTTAAGGACATTACATCAAAGTTGAATCAGCCTGTAGTGTGGTTTTCCACTTTAATTTTGAGGGTGACTCCAAATCCAGACCTCCATGGGTTGATACATTTGATTTCCATTGATAATTTTTGTGTGATTTTGTTGTCAGCACATTCAACCATGTAAAGAAAAAAATATTTAATAAGATTATTTCATTCATTCAGATCTAGGATGTGTTGTTTAAGTGTTCCCTTTGTTTTTTTTAACAGTGTATATATATAGCTCAGTATACAGCTAGTCAAGTCTCTATAGTGTATTCTATAGACTCTATAGTCTACTCTAGCAGTCTATAGCTGCAGAGAGGTCTATAGCTGCAGAGGACTAGAGTACAGTCTATAGCTGCAGAGGACTATAGTACAGTCTATAGCAGCAGAGGACTAGAGTACAGTCTATAGCTGCAGAGGACTAGAGTACAGTCTATAGCTGCAGAGGACTAGAGTACAGTCTATAGCTGCAGAGTGGACTATAGTACAGTCTATAGCTGCAGAGGACTATAGTACAGTCTATAGCTCCAGAGAGGACTATAGTACAGTCTATAGCTGCAGAGGACTATAGTACTGTCTATAGCTGCAGAGGACTAGAGTACAGTATATAGCTGCAGAGGACTGGAGTACCGTCTATAGCTGCAGAGGACTAGAGTACCGTCTATAGCTGCAGAGGACTAGAGTACAGTCTATAGCTGCAGAGGACTAGAGTACAGTCTATAGCTGCAGAGGACTATAGTACCGTCTATAGCTGCAGAGGACTAGAGTACAGTCTATAGCTGCAGAGGACTGGAGTACCGTCTATAGCTGCAGAGGACTAGAGTACAGTCTATAGCTGCAGAGGACTAGAGTACAGTCTATAGCTGCAGAGGACTAGAGTACAGTCTATAGCTGCAGAGGACTAGAGTACAGTCTATAGCTGCAGAGGACTAGCGTACAGTCTATAGCTGCAGAGGACTAGAGTACAGTCTATAGCTGCAGAGGACTATAGTACCGTCTATAGCTGCAGAGGACTAGAGTACAGTCTATAGCTGCAGAGGACTAGAGTACAGTCTATAGCTGCAGAGGACTATAGTACAGTCTATAGCTGCAGAGGACTATAGTACAGTATATAGCTGCAGAGGACTATAGTACAGTCTATGCAGAGGACTATAGTACAGTCCATAGCTGCAGAGGACTATAGTACAGTCTATAGCTGCAGAGGACTAAAGTACAGTCTATACAGAGGACTATAGTACAGTCTATGCAGAGAGGACTATAGTACAGTCTATGCAGAGAGGACTAGTACAGTCTATAGCTGCAGAGAGGACTATAGTACAGTCTATACAGAGGTCTATAGTGTTGTATATAGCTCAGACTCAGTATAGAGCTAGTCTAGTCTGTGTAGGGCTATAGCTGCAGAGGGAGGACTATAGAGTGTAGACAATGGCTTCAGTATGTGTTCCTTAGTTCTCCCTCAACCCCGAGAGGAGAGGAGGCCGCAGCCTGCTCCATTGTTGAAGGGGAGGAATGAGCAACGGCTCAACTCCTGTTATGCTAATACGATTTATCTGAACGCTACAATTCTACAAACAAAAGGCGGGCAGAGAGAAGACCTGTCACCGATGAAAAAGAGCGCGCGAGAGGTGGGCGTAGACAGAGCTCCGAAAGGCAGGGTCGGTTTCCTGCCGGGGTAAGCACGTGGTTCCGTATGTGTGTCAGTCGGAGGTTTTCTGAGCTCCCCCTCTCTCTTTCCCACAGCCAGCTAACATTCATTTTCCAGCACTTTTATCCTCTACCAACCCACAACGATTCGAAACGGCAACCGGGAGTAGTGTGTTGTGCCATCCGATCCATCTCGTTCGCGGGTCATGACGCTCGAGGCGATCCGTTACCGGGCCGGATCTCTGCAGATTCTTAACCAGCTGCTCCTACCGCATGAGACTGTGTTCGACGAGGTCCGCACGGTGCAGGACGGCTATGAAGCGATCAAGTCCATGAAGGCAAGAAATATCACTCTCTCCGTCTTCTACCCCTCACGTTTCCTTTCCACGCTCACTCCGTGTCATCTCCCCGTGTGTGTGTTGGTCTAGCATAGTTAGCAGTGTTTCCACCATAGCGTGTAGCTATGTTGACTGCGGGTGTCTTTGTGTCAAACAGGGTCGATCTTTTGTGTGAGCTGTGCACCCTGCTCTCCGTTCTGTCACATAGCATGTATGTACGGCTGCATGAACGGTGTGCATGGGCAAAGGTCTTGTGGCCTGTGATAGGCTATTTGTTGAAGTCCATGGCCTGTGTGTTTTGACCGGCCCTGCTATTTCCACCGATTGCTATCGTCTGCAGCGCCGTATTGCATGGAATACCGGCCCGGGTGTGGACGGTCGGGGCTGGCTCACACACACACAGTGTGACACTCGTTCGTTTTCATCAGCCACCGGCCCGGTTTGGCTATTTAACGTGATCCTAAACGAGAAAAGGATCCTATTATTTATTTAACGTTAACACCGACAAAACCACCGTGACCGGTATCCGCACCCACCCATGAAAACGCCCCTTGCTCTTGCTCTCACGGTAAAGATTGTCTATGCATTATTAATGACCGATTCCCGGGGTTTTGTTCGCGCCTGCAGTCGTTGTTCTGCCGCTTGTTGTTTGGCGACGGCTTTTATCACGATTGGCTCTGATGGGGAGAGGTGTTTTGTTGATCTGTCAAATAGACTGCTTCTCTTTCTTTATATTCGTCATAATAAACCTCCTTCCATTGATACAGACACCCTCTCTATCTCTCTCTTTCTGTCTTTCTCTCTCTCCTCTTTACTCCCACACTCACACACACTGTGAGATACTCTCCATCTGAGCATCAGTCCAACTTCAGACCTGTGACAGAATGCCCCTTAAACAGGATGATGATGTCATGGTGATAGTAATAGTAGTCTCTCTGTGTCCCTGGGGATGGATGGATGGATGATACCTAGCTAACGCTGATCTCTCACACACTGGTGACATCATACACCACCTCACTGTCCTGCTGTGTGTTTAAATATATATTTGAGATTCTTCAAATAGCTGCCCTTTGCATTGATGACAGCTGTGCACACTCTTGGCATTCTCTCAACCAGCTTCATGAGGTAGTCACCTGGAATGCATTTCAATTAACAGGTGTGCCTTCTTAAAACTTAATTTGTCGAATTTATTTCCTTCTTAATGTTTGAGCCAATCAGTTGTGTTGTGACAAGGTAGGGGGGGGTATACAGAAGATAGCCCTATTTGGTAGAAGACCAAGTCCATATTATGGCAAGAACAGCTCAAATAAGCAAAGAGAAATGACAGTCCGTCATTACTTTAAGACATGAATGTCAGTCAATACGGAACATTTCAAGAACTTTGAAAGTTTCTTCAAGTGCAGTCGCAAAAACCATCAAGCGCTATGATGAAACTGCTTACATTTACATTTACATAATTTAGCAGACGCTCTTATCCAGAGCCACTTACACTTTTTTTTTTTTTGGGATGGGGTTAAGGGGGGGTAGAAGGATGACTTTATCCTATCCCAGGTATTCCTTAAAGAGGTGCGGTTTCAAGTGTCTCCGGAAGGTGGTGAGTGACTCCGCTGTCCTGGCGTCGTGGCACACCTGTTAATTGAAATGCATTCCAGGTGACTACCTCATGAAGCTGCTTCTCAAGAGGACCGCCACAGTAATGGAAGACCCAGAGTTAGCTCTGCTGCAGAGGATAAGTTCATTAGTTACCAGCCTCAGAAATTGCAGCCCAAATAAGTGCTTCACAGAGTTCAAGTCAGACACATCTCAACATCAACTGTTCAGAGGGGACTGTGTGAATCAGGGCTTCATGGTTGAATTGCTGCAAAGAAACCACTACTAAAGGACACCAATAAGAAGAAGAGACCTGCTTGTGCCAAGAAACACGAGCAATGGACTTTAGACCTGTGGAAATGTGTCGTTTGGTCTGGAGTCCAAATTGGAGATTTTTGGTTCCAACCGCCGTGTCTTTGTGAGACGCGGTGTGGGTGAACGGATGATCTCTGCATGTGTAGTTCCCACCGTAAAGCATGGAGGAGGAGGTGTTATGGTGTGGGGTCTTAACCAGCAAGGCTACCACAGCATTCTGCAGCGATACGCCATCCCATCTGGTTTGGGCTTAGTGGGACTATCATTTGTTTTTCAACAGGACAATGACCCAACACACCTCCAGGCTCTGTAAGGGCTATTTTACCAAGGAGAGTGATGGAGTGCTGCATCAGATGACCTGGCCTCCACAATCCCCCGACCTCAACCCAATTGAGATGGTTTGGGATGAGTCGGACCGCAGAGTGAAGGAAAACAGCCAACAAGTGCTCAGCATATGTGGGAACTCCTTCAAGACTGTTGGAAAAGCATTCCAGGTGAAGCTGGTTGAGAGAATGCCAAGAGTGTGCAAAGCTGCCATCAAGGCAAAGGGTGGCTATTTGAAGAATCTCAAAAATATTTAGATTTGTTTAACACTTTTTTGGCTACTACATGATTCCATATGTGTTATTTCATCGTTTTATGAAAATAGTAAAAAATAAACCCTTGAATGAGTAGGTGTGTCCAAACTTTTGACTGGTAGTGTGTGTGTGTGTGTGTGTGTGTGTATATATGACCAAACACACATCACAACTAGAGAGACCACTACATAAAGAGAGACCTAAGATGACAACATAGCAAGGTAGCAACCCAACACGACAACAACATGGTAGCAAACACACCATGGCTGTAGCACAACATGGTAGCAGCACAAGACATGGTACAAACATTATTGGGCACAGACAACAGCACAAAGGGCAAGAAGGTAGAGACTATCGCCCTGCTTTGTGTGTGTCTGCATATAGTCATGTCAGGTATCGCCTCATACAGTCATGTCAGGTATCGCCTCATACAGTCATGTCAGGTGTCGCCTCATACAGTCATGTCAGGTGTCGCCTCATACAGTCATGTCAGGTTTCGCCTCATACAGTCATGTCAGGTGTCGCCTCATACAGTCATGTCAGGTATCGCCTCATACGTCATGTCAGGTATCGCCTCATACGGTCATGTCAGGTATCGCCTCATACAGTCATGTCAGGTATCGCCTCATACAGTCATGTCAGGTTTCGCCTCATACAGTCATGTCAGGTTTCGCCTCATACAGACAGCAGGAGTCCCTACACTCTTAGGAATACCTCATAAATAGATAGTATCTAATCCTTCTACCCACAAAATATATAAAATAATAATAATAAAAATAATAATAAACTAAAACAAAACAAAATGGTAAAGTGGTTATATCCCACTGGCTATCATCAGGTGACTGCACCAATTAGTAAGTGGCTCTGGATAAGAGCGTCTGCTAAATGATGTAAATGTGATACTGCATAGTTTCAGTCATCCATCTACCTGCAACTGCAAGACGACGTCTTCTGGACAGGAGAGAGTTGTAAGGAGGGACAGGGTCCCAACAGGACGAGGAGGGACAGGTGGAGACTGGTGTATGATAAAGACCAATGAGAGAGTTGTAGAGGAGGGACAGGTGGAGACTGGTGTATGATAAAGACCAATGAGAGAGTTGTAGAGGAGGGACAGGTGGAGACTGGTGTATGATAAAGACCAATGAGAGAGTTGTAGAGGAGGGACAGGTGGAGACTGGTGTATGATAAAGACCAATGAGAGAGTTGTAGAGGAGGGACAGGTGGAGACTGGTGTATGATAAAGACCAATGAGAGCGTTGTAGAGGAGGGACAGGTGGAGACTGGTGTATGATAAAGACCAATGAGAGCGTTTGATAGACACACAGGTCCTCCTCCTCTGGTTTACCTGGAGGATCACAAGAAATGTTCAAAGGCTGAATTCCAACATTATGTCTGGTTCCCTCTCCCTCCTTCCCTCTCTCCCTCCAGGTGCGGGGGGCTCCTGCAATTGCCATCGTAGGTTGTCTGAGCCTGGCAGTGGAGCTGCGCGCGGGCGCCGGGGGCAACGACCCCGTGACCTTCATCCGGGAATCTCTGTGTCACCTGACCTCTGCAAGACCCACGGCCGTCAACATGGGCCGGGCCGCCCGAGAACTGATGGAGTTTGCCGAGAACGAGAGCATGGAGAAAAACCCAGAACAACTCACAGAGAGGTACGGATGTAGGGAGAGAGAGATGTAGGGAAGGATGGGGGGGAGTAATGAGAGAACTGATGGAGTTGGCAGAGAGAGAGAGCATGGAGGAAAAACCCAGAACAACTCAGTGGTAAAAGGGAAGATGATAGTGAAAGATAACTGCTTTGTGACAGACACACACATCATCCAATAACTCCCTCTCCTCTCATCCCGCTCGTCCTGCAGTGTGATTGGCTGGATCGAGGAGATGCTGGAGCGTGATGTCAATGACAACAAGAAGATCGGTAACTACGGAGCTCAACACATCCTGTCTGGTGTTCCCCGAGACTCTGTCACCATCCTAACACACTGCAACACCGGCTCACTGGCCACTGCAGGATACGGCACCGCCCTGGGTAAGAGAGAGAGAGAGAGAGAAAGAGAGTGTGTATGTCTCCATGCTCTGGTAGACTGAAGCGTATGTATTGTACAGAGACCAGGCCCTATAACCAGTGTGTGTGTGTGTGTGTCTCCAGGTGTGGTGCGTTCCCTCCATACTCTGGGTAGACTGAAGCGTATGTATTGTACAGAGACCAGGCCCTATAACCAAGGGGCCAGACTGACAGCCTATGAGGCCGTGGCTGAAGGGTTCCCTGCTACTCTCATCACAGACAGCATGGCTGCACTCACCATGAGAGAGAAGAGCATCACAGGTATACACAGACTCGGTCTGCCTGTCTTCTGTCTGCCTGTCTTCTGTCTGCCTGTCTTCTGTCTGCCTGTCTGTCTGTCTGTCTTCCTCTCTTCTGTCTTTCCTTCCTCCTCCAATAACTGTGGTCTGGTTTGCTGTTCTATCAATCTCTTATCACTATACTGTTATTTTCTCTCTCTCTCTCTCCCCCCCTCTCTCTCTCTCCCCCTCTCCCCCCCCCCCCCCCCCCCTCTCTCAGCTGTGGTCGTCGGGGCCGACAGGGTGGTTGCTAACGGCGCCGCCACCATCGCCGTCAGCCTGGCATTCCGTCCAGGTCCGACGTTCTACCGCTGCCCGGCGCCCAGCACTCAGGACTGTGTCGTGGAGAGGCGGGCGGACATTGCTGAGACGCCGCGAGGAACCACAGATAACGGAGTACCATGCGGGCCACCGAAGACATGGGATGTGTGGTAGTGCGTGTGCGTGCGAGCCAGCACGTCATGTGACCTGAGTCTGGAGAGCAGGGCGACATGGCAGACGAGAGAGACTGGCGAGAGAAGACGTGCAAGAGAGACAGTGGCAGAGGAGAACCGCATGCAGAGACAGACATGGAGCAGTGTGGCGGAGAGAGACAGAGCAGTGCAGGAGGGAGCAGACAGTGTGGAGGAGACAGCAGTGGAGCAGAGAGAGACAGTGGCAGAGAGAGAGAGAAACAGTGGAGAGAGAGAGAGACAGTGGCAGAGAGACAGAGAGACAGTGGCAGAGAGAGAGAGAGAGACAGTGGCAGAGAGAGAGAGAGACAGTGGCAGAGAGACAGAGAGACAGTGGCAGAGAGAGAGAGAGAGAGAGAGACAGTGGCAGAGAGACAGACAGTGGCAGAGAGAGAGAGAGAGACAGTGGCAGAGAGACAGACAGTGGCAGAGAGAGAGAGAGAGAGACCGTGGCAGAGAGACAGACAGTGGCAGAGAGAGAGAGAGAGAGACAGACAATGGCAGAGAGAGACAGACAGTGGCAGAGAGAGACAGACAGTGGCAGGCAGGCATATATTGATAAAGATACTAATAGAGCTGGGGAGCGTGATAGAGATATAACAGTATATTCCCTGGTAGATCCAGACAGAGGGAACAGTGTAGTGTATTCTCTGGAGTATGTACCAGAGCTGATTGACTTGTGACACGTCTCTCTAATTATACAACTAGAGGAGAAGAGGAGCTCTGTGACATCACAGTAATTATATTCTACTCTTCTTTAATAGACCCACTGTTCCCTGGGGTGTTCCTGCTCGCTTTCCTTTTCCCTCCCTCTCCCTTTACCCCCTCACTCTACAATTATTTACCTTCCCTTCTTTATCCTCTCCCCCTAACCCCCCTCCCCCTAATTTATCTTGCTCTCTGTCCCTTCCCCCATCTCTCTCCCTCTCTATATACCCCCCCCCCCCCCCCCCCTCTCGTCTCCCCGTTCCCCCCGATCTCTCGCTCTCCTCCTCTCAAGGTATTGATGTGTGGAACCCGGCGTTTGACGTGACCCCCCACCAGCTGATAACGGGGGGCATCATCACAGAGCTGGGGGTGTTTCTGCCCTCGGAGCTGCAGGCAGCACTCACCGGCCGTCTCACTGCCCTGTAGACGGCGCTATCACCACCCGCTGGCCGCCGAGCGCTACTGCACCTTATTATTCCTGCTCTCACTCTCTCATATGACTTATACGTCCTCACACACACAGATGAGGTGGAAGTCAGTTTTGTTACATTCACATACACACACACAGTCAGTGTTACACAAACATACACACTCACGCGTTTTACGGTCTCACACACACATTATGCAGTAACTCAGACACATGCACACCTACAATCCCCGACTCCTGTCCCTCCCTCCCTCTCTCCTCTCTCTGGTCTCTCCTGTGTTCATCTCTTGTCCAGTGATCTATATCCCTGTCGCTGTGTGAAGCTCTTGCGCTCCTTCTCTCTCTCCCTCCTACAAAAATGGCTTCCGCAGTGACAATCAAGGCTCAGCTTCACTCCGCCCTTAAGTCAGACCAGTAACAGTGATTGGTTAATAAGTAGCGTGACTAAAATTCTGGTCTCTGTTTGAAAAACAAAACCTGTTCAACCAGGAAGAGAACATTAGCCTGTGTTTTCTTTCCCTTACAGGGTTCTTACTAGTGAACCCATTTGTCTATTAAAAGCTTTTTGAACACTTTGTGGTTCTTAAAGTGAGATTTCGATGCTGCTGCGGGACTTGTAAATAAATATGATCACCACTAGTAGTGTACAGTCGTGGTCAAAAGTTTTGAGAATGACACAAGTATTGGTCTTAACAAAGTTCGCTGCTTCAGTGTTATGAGATATTTTTGTCAGATGTTACTATGGTATACTGAAGTATAATTACAAGCATTCCATAAGTGTCAAAGGCTTTTATTGACAATTACATTAAGTGTATGCAAAGTGTCAATATTTGCAGTGTTGACCCTTCTTTTTCAAGAGCTCTGCAATCCGCCCTGGCATGCTGTCAATTAACTTCTGGGCCACATCCTGACTGATGGTAGCCCATTCTTGCATAATCAATGCTTGGAGTTTTCAGAATTTGTGGGTTTTTGTTTGTCCACCCGCCTCTTGAGGATCGACCATAAATTCTCAATGATATTAAGGTCTGGGGAGTTTCCTGGCCGTGGACCCAAAATTTCGATGTTTTGTTCCCCGAGCCACTTAGTTATCACTTTTGCCTTATGGCAAGGTGCTCCATCATGCTGGAAAAGGCATTGTTCGTCACCAAACTGTTCTTGGATGGTTGGGAGAAGTTGCTCTCTGAGGATGTGTTGGTACCATTCTTTATTCATGGCTGTGTTCTTAGGCAAAATTGTGAGAGAGCCCACTCCCTTGGCTGAGAAGCAACCCCATACATGAATGGTCTCAGGATGCTTTACTGTTGGCATGACACAGGACTGATGGTAGCGCTCACCTTGTCTTCTCCGGACAAGGTGTTTTCCAGATGCCCCAAACAATCGGAAAGGGGATTCATCAGAGAAAATGACTTTACCCCAGTCCTCAGCAGTCCAATCCCTGTACCTTTTGCAGAATATCAGTCTGTCCCTGATGGTTTTCCTGGAGAGAAGTGGCTTCTTTGCTGCCCTTCTTGACACCAGGCCATCCTCCAAAAGTCTTCGCCTCACTGCGCGTGCAGATGCACTCACACCTGCCTGCTGCCATTGCTGAGCAAGCTCTGCACTGGTGGTGCCCCGATCCCGCAGCTGAATCAACTTTAGGAGACGGTCCTGACGCCTTCTTCACAACAATTGAACCTCTCTCCTTGAAGTTCTTGATGATCCGATAAATGGTTGATTTAGGTGCAATCTTACTAGCAGCAATATCCTTGCCTGTGAAGCCCTTTTTGTGCAAAGCAATGATGACGGCACGTGTTTCCTTGCAGGTAACCATGGTTAACAGAGGAAGAACAATGATTTCAAGCACCACCCTCCTTTTAAAGCTTCCAGTCTGTTATTCTAACTCAATCAACATGACAGAGTGATCTCCAGCCTTGTCCTCGTCAACACTCTCACCTGTGTTAACGAGAGAATCACTGACATGATGGCAGCTAGTCCTTTTGTGGCAGGGCTGAAATGCAGTGGAAATGTTTTTGGGGGATTAAGTTCATTTTCATGGCACAGAGGGACTTTGCAATTCATCTGATCACTCTTCATGACATTCTGGAGTATATGCAAATTGCCAACTTCAAAACTGAGGCAGCAGACTTTGTGAAAATTAGTATTTGTGTCATTCTCAAAACTTTTGACCACAACTGTACATATGTACAGAACTAACTGATCCCCTTTAGAAGAACTGGTCAAAACAAAATCCTAATCAAATTCAGGTAGAGTTCTCCAAACATTGTTTGGAAGGACAATTTAACAATTATACTCAATCAAAAAAATGTATATTAACATGTAGTTTTCTCTGTAAAAGCTTTTTATAGAAATGTGAGTTTAAGAAAATTGATAGCCTATGATGACACTTGACTGCTGAAAATACATTGATGAGTCCCAAATAGCACCCTATTCCCTATATAGTGCACTACGTTTGACTAGTGCCCATAGGCTCTAGCTAAAAGTAGTGCACTATATTTGGAATAGGGTGCCATTTGGGACATGCCCACTATCAGGCAGAAGTCGTTTAATACCAGTCAGAAAGTTATTCATCTTGCTGAAGCAATTGAAATTAGAACTATTAAAATCAAAACAATAAAATCAAGTTGATATTACATTATCTAGAGCAAACCTCCCTAGTCAGCTGACGCGTATAACTTGTGGTTACCTCCCTATACCTCACATAATGTCTGTACCTTGCTGTTCCAATCAGTACCATATCGTCCCCTGCTCTAAGGGTTATAAAACCTCTCCTCAGACGTTTCACAATTCTGTTGTAGCCCTGAACTAGCTCACCTGGTTAACCTAGTCGAGGCCTTGGTGATTAGTTGACAAGTTGAATCAAGTGTGCTAGCTGTGGAATAGCTGCAATACATGGAACTGGGTCCCTGAGGAGAGGTTTAAAAACCATGGTCCTACTCTACCATATCAAACGCCACCCCACTACACAGATTACACAGAAACACAATATAAACACTGAACACCAATCTCCATGTTATTAGACCTGGCCAACAAAAGCAAGCAAAAGAAAACATTTTTTTTCTCGGCTTTAAACAATGATTGAACGGAATCTGGAATGGTGATGTTTGTTCTAAAGATTGTATCTCTATGTTGTACTGAATGTCACAGGGGCCTGCGCTGCTCACTGCCTTACACTACCAGCACCACCGCTCACACCCACGACACGACAGGCCCGCATCCCAAATGGACCCCTGTTACCGATGTAGTGCACTGCCTTTGACCAGCGCTTTGGTCAAAAGTAGTGCACTACATAGGGAATAATAGGTTGTCATTCCGGACGGCCCGAGGACAGCAGGCTAACAGGGGCGAACGTAGCCCTCCAACCCCATCTTAACCACCCCACCCCACCCCTCGAAATGCAAGAAGAGGTCCGAAAGTTGTCTGGCTAACCAAACTCCTTGCTCCAGTGAAACACTACACCACGAAAAGGGGCGTTTTCATCATTGGCTTTGATACTCTGATTGGTTAGAGATTATCCAATTGCTGATGACTTCGTTTTTTACAACACCCTTCATTTTGATGTCACCACAAAATACTTCAAAGATGGCAGGCTCAGACTGAAGTATGTAGCGAACATAGAGCAGTCGAAAAATGTACAGTAGTTTGAGTTGTCAGGCAAGTCTGAAAGCTCAAAGGTGAAATACACCCCTGCATCCACTACTCTTTTACGCCATCCATCCCTCATTCAAAAACCTCCTCTGATTTCTAAACACACCACACCTCCTCGCCCCTTGGAGCGTTTCTGGTTCACACGAGGCATTATTATCTAGAACATTCCTGTCAAAAAATAATACATTATTTTGAAATGTAGAATCCATAATGTCATAACTGTTCCACATTTCTAGAATCGCAGTAGAACAGAGACCCCTCTCTCTCCCCTCCTCTCACAGCGATGCTGTTGGCAGTCAAATCACATAAGGGGCTAGAATCAACCACCACTGTTGTGTTTTCGGGTTTCCTTTCTTTCTTTTTTTTGTCTTTTATTTTGAGAAACTGAACTGGAAGAAATCAGAGGGGAGAGTTTTAACGGTCGAGAAAAATGTAGCAACTTTGTCGCCATCCGTAGAGTGTTAGTTGAAAACTTTTTTTTAAAGGGTACGAGAATCCGTTTGTCTCTTATCACGAATACTATTTTTTTTAGACTGGAATCCAGATGCTGTTCTGTGTTAACATTCCACTCCTTGTACCCCGGGCAATTGTTTTGCATGACAAGGAGTGGAATGATAGCACGAACAGACTGGTAACCAGGCTACTCTTGTTTGGCTGTGATCTGTTGTTTTGTTATTATTGTGATTCTTAGTGCTAAAGCTGTTGTTAATTAGACTACACTGAGAGGCCTCCTCGACCACACGCACTATCACACACATACGCGCTACCACATACACACTGATAAATGTCAGGATAGACTTATGTTTAATTAGTAACCCAAAGGTTATCTGTATATTTAGCAGGATAATGGGAGTCCCAAATGGCACCCTATTTCCTTTATAGTGCACTACTTTTGACCAGGGCCCTATAGGGTTCTGGTCAAAAGTAGTGCACTATATAGGGTATAGGGTGCCATTTGGGACGGCACCTAGATCCAGACAAAGGGCACCATATTGAATAGTGTAAAATACCTCTCTTTACTGAGGGTATCTTAAGATGCAGTGAATTCCCAGTGTACTTATAGGAAACCATCCATCCTCCCTCTTATTCTCCGTCCCCAGTAACCACACTAGTATACTATCTAGTATGCACGGGCAGAATTGCTTCATACGAAGTAGTATGCACGTGTGGATACTTCGGGACATAATCTAATGAGTCTAGTCTTGGGAGAAGCAAATGCCAAATTAATTAAGTGCCAAATTCAACGCTATCATCACTTCTACTCCCTCTGAGATTTCAACCGACAGGAGAAGGTCCTGATGACGGTGTTTGCGAATAAGTCAATAGAAAGCATGGCTGGTTAATTTAGTGTGTGTAGGGGTGTAGTCGATTAGAAGGCCTCTTTCTACGTGTAGTTACGTTATTGTTTATATTCACATCTGGGGTTTAGTTTTGTATCATGTGGAAATAGTTCAAAACTGGATGTTTTTTTTATATATGTATATGAATATAATGCTGTAAACTGCATACCCGAATTAAGAAGAGATTTGTCTTTCACGACAGTACAATAAAGAGGGAGCAAAAACATTACTGCGGTCTGTGTTGTATCTTTTTGGTCGTGGTACATTTCTTAGGCTATCATTGTATGTACTATCTAATTTATACATTAATTTAATTTCAAGGTACATGTTTAATAAGTAATTTATCTAACTTGGCACAATTCAAACATTTTATTGATTCAGTTCAAAATATTCCCCAGTATCTTCCGGAGAGATTTTATTTTCGTATTTTCCACACCTCAGTAGTACTCTAGTATCCCAGAATGCCATGTTGTAACGCCCATCTGCATCCGGTCTGGAACAATACGGTGAAAACAGCATCGAGGCAAGATGGCGCAAGGTAAACAGAAGTTCAAAGCGCAGCCCGGTGGAGCCAAGAAACCTCAACAAAACAAAAACAAAGGTCCCAGAAAAGGAGGTACGTACAGTGTGATATGGTTGATGTCTTTTATTCTTGCGATTTCTCCTGGGCTTCGTATATACACTCAAAGTATTTGCGACCTGTGGCGGCGGACATGCTGGCTCAAACACGGTTCAGTGAGGAGACAGTTTCTATAGAAAAACTGCGTGGAAACTAGATTATCAGTAAGTAGTACGCGCGCCCCCTCAAATGGAACTCATCATAGCGCAAGTATTTGAATTGCATCGCATGCCGTTGCATATGCATAACAAGACAAGACAAATTCAGAAGTTGTCACAATGTTTAGGCCTACTTACTGGACCTGCTGTCAACTTGTGAAGGAGATCTGTAGGGCAGCTTATAGCTATTTATAGGAGATTTGTAATAGCATTATCAGTCACACAAAAGATTACACAGTGCCTGCCCATCTATTCCCTTAAGAACTAGCTAACCTCTTTGATACCCTTATGGGCTGTTCCAAATGGAAACTTGTCTTAACTTCTACAGCACTTGTTACGAATCCGTTTGGCTTAAGGGGACAATCTGCATTTGCTACATACATTATTTGACTTTTAAAGTAAGGATATAGCCATTGATTCTTGAAGAATATATCTTATAAATGCCTCATGATGAGCATAGTTCAACCCATCAGAACCATCCCTCAGCTATTTACCAAAACAGAGGCGGGGTGTTGGCTTTGTTATTGTTTGCCCACAGTGTGTTTTTGTAGGGGGTCAATAAATATCTACACTGAGGTGTTATTGTTGGCTACAAATCTCACCCTCACCTGTTGCTGTTTCACAGGAAGGACGATTGCACCAAAGAAGGTTAAAGTAGTACAACAACAGCAGTTGAAGAAGGTAAGACACCAGCTATAGAACAGCCCATAATGTCCGTTACAGAATAATGAGAGAGTTTCAAATCTATCTGTTCAGGCTGGGGGCTACCACTTGTATACGATGAGGAAGTGACCGCTCATTTCACCTTACTTCCAAGATCCAGTCCCATACTGTTTTTGAATGGGCTTCAAGATTATATAATTATATTCACAAAAACGCAGTCATTTAAGATATATATTTATATGTATATATGTGTGTTTGTGGATTAACTTAACCTGATGCCTTTTAATAAGGAGGATTTTCAATATGGTTTTTGTTCATTTGGCGCTTAGTCGTAAAAAAAAAAGTTGAAATGGAAGTGGTCGCACTTTCCCATTGTGTTCTCGTCTTAGCCCTCTCCTGGGTTGAGGGTCACTTCTACTTCTTCCACCTGGCTACGTCCCGATTCTGAATCTGCACCCTTCTCTCCCAGAGTGTGTACTTGCACACTCCTCGTCATGGAAGGTGGAAACTCCCCTATGCTTTTCAATTGAACTCCATGATGGGCAGGGTGTAAGTGCACACTTTGGGAGAAGTGTAGAGAATCCACTACGGTCTGTGTCTGTGGGACATAGCGTCTGAGACCTCGTGCACTGGGATACAGTCAGCACTGTCTGCAGATAGAATCGTCTCAGAGAACCAGGACCCTGACACCACACAGAGTTGTACTTCGATGGACAAAAAACGGAGATCAATGCAGATTTATTTAGACATGGAGGGCTTATCTTTCTTTATTTTCCTGGATAGTCACCCATTGAAATGTCCTGAGGAAAGGAATGCTTTTTTTTTTAGGCAATGGGTGTAAGTAATATACAAATGAATCTGTGTTCCTACGTCTGAGTGTGGCTGTACCCTGATCCCATGTCCCCTGCTGTACCCCCCAGGGCCTGGAGGTGGCCATCAGGAACAAGATAGAGGAAGAGGTGACCCACAGAGCCAGTACTAAACTCCACAAGAGGCTGAGTATTGTGAAGGGGGCGGAGGTGAAACCAACCCCCTCTAAAGGAAACAACCATCCCAACCACCCTGCACCCAGCACCTCCAAATAAACACACTCTGTCTTCCTGTTGTTGTCTCTCTGTCTGTCTCTCGGTCTGGTCTAGTCTGACTGGTTTCGCTGTGCTAGATATAAGTTAATAATGTCTCCCAAATGGCACCCCTATTCCCTATATAGTGTTCTACTTTTGAACAGTGGCCCATAGGGCTCTGGTCGACAGTAGTGCACTGTATAGTGAATAGGGTGCCATTTGGGACGCATACAATGTGTTAGACACACACAATGTGTTAGACACACTGCTGCTAGGCTGAATGGACTGACACGAAGTCACACGTCTATCGATGGCTGAGGAGTGTAATATTCAAGTCTCCACTAGATGGTACTATAGTAGTCATAGTTTTGGTGAGTATACTGGTAGACTTGGCTTCTTGCTATCGCCTCGAGGACACAAGAAGAGGAACCTGAGGATGCCACAGAAGAGTATTGAGATGCACCCTAGATAGTCAACAGCCTACAGTTGTGATCTCTGTACTGTATATTGAAGGGGCCATCAAGTATTTTTTTTGTGATTGTCTTCTGTTGCACTAACGTCAGAATTGAGACAATAGTTTCTCCCATGTATTCCAATGCAAAGGGCGTGAATAAAAAGCTGTGGACATTTTGTAAAGCAACAGAGTTATTTTATCTTGTGCGTGGGCGTGTGTAGACCTATCCAGACCTGTCTGTGTCTGCTGCAGGTGTTTAGTGTGCATACACTTTCCTCTTTACCTCAGAGCTGCTGTTTAGTGCAGGTCTCTCTCTTCCTCCCATAATATGTTTACACTGGTGAAATTCCACCAGGTGTGTATTTACCTTAGTCAAGCACATGCTGCTCAGGTTAAGGCAGTGTTTCCCAAACTCGGTCCTGGAGCCCCCCCTTGGGTGCACGTTTTGGTTTTTGCCATAGCACTACACAGCTGATTCAAATAATCAACTAATCATCCAGCTTTGATCATTTGAATCAGCTGTGAAGTGTTAGGGCAAAAACCAAAACGTGCACTCCTTGGGGTCCTGCGGACTAAGTTTGGGAAATGCTGGGTTAAGGCCTTGGTTTTTCAACTGTATTTTTTTGTGGTTTTATTGGACAGATCGAGAACAGTAGAGCGAAGACAGGGAAGATCGGAGGAGCTCCATTCAAATGACAGGGAATCTTTCAACCAGGAATTCTGGGAAGTTGGGGAAAGTTATGGGAAATGTACAGCCCTAACCTCACCAGAACATAACGTACACAGGTTACAGGTTTCTCGTTACGGCTACATTTCACTCTAGTTCAGCATGCGATCCAATGAGCTCCACACGCAGAATAATCCTAGGCACATACATGTTTATAACAGTAATACAGTTATTATGACTCTCTACATAAGAGCATCTACTAAGACTAGTTACTAAGTGAAATGTTAGATACTACTGCAGTGTTGGAGCTAAGAACACAAGCATTTCGCTACACCCGCAATAACATCTGCTAAATATGTGTATGTGACCAATACGATTTGATTTGACTAGAATACTCATATGATCTCAGTTCCTGTCAAAACACTTGATTAATAACTACATGGACATATACCATAGCTATAACATATTTATGATAAACACAAACATCTTACAACTCACATAAGAGTGTCGACTAAGACTTGAGTATAAATATAAATTATCTAAATTCTAATGTGGTTATAAAACACACAGCTTATTATGTTGTTGTGTGGTCCTCCGGGGCAGCAGGTGGCGCTGTGGAATATCTAAGGAGCCCTGAGGGCCTCCAGGCAGTGTGGGGAGCGCAGGAAGCGAGGATAAGAGTCTTTGGCCATCAGGTGGTAGACATGTTGTTGGGCCTCATGGAATGTGTCGCCTGCAGGCTCCTCCATCACTCTCAGTAGAGCCTCCCTGGTCTCAGCATCCAGGTTCACCTGGGAACAACACACACAATGTTCAGACAACGCCTATACAACGTTCACTAGCATCCTGTCCAGGGGGTGTACTTGTACATCAAGCTTCCTTAAGCTACAGAAATAGGAGAAATGGGGGCCCCTGCCCCTCTGGACTGTTCTGGCTTGGACAAGGCTTACTTACTTACTTATACAACATTCAAGCAATGGCAATACAACCTTCACACAACATCTATACAACGTCAGTAAAATGTATATACAACATTTAGACGGCATCTACACAACACTCCACCTACCTCCTGTGGTGCGCCAGGGTTGATGTACTGGCAGTACATGGACTGGGCCTTGGCCCCCTGCTGCCATGAGGGGGTAACCCTGTACTCCTCACAGGCCAACCAGAACTGCAGGTTCTCCTCACTGAACTCAGACTGCAGGAACCAGCGGAAGGCTTTCTGGCCAACTGGGGGGAGGAGGGGGGGATAAAGGGGAGAGAGGGAGAGATGGAAAGAAGATGAAAATCATATGGGGAGGACAACATTTCAACAAGTCAAACTACATTGCCACAGAAACATATCAATGTAATGAGAGAGAGAGGAGAGAGAGAGAAAATAAGAGAGGGAGAAAGAAAGAAAGAAAGAAAGAAAAAGAGGGAGAGAGAAGGAGAGGGACTAAGAAGAGGGAGAGAGAGAGAAGAGAGGGACTAAGAAGAGAGAGAGAAGAGAGGGGGACTAAGAAGAGGGAGAGAGAGAGAGAAGAGAGGGGGACTAAGAAGAGGGAGAGAGAGAAGAGAGGGACTAAGAAGAGGGAGAGAGAGAAGAGAGGGACTAGATCTTACTCTTGCTGTTGAGTAGAGACTCCAGATCCTGAAGAGCCTTGTCCTCGTGGACCCTTTTAGAAGAGTAATGGAGGATGGAGAGAAATGGAGAGATCAGGGACGAGCTCTGATGAAAATTAGCACTTTTTTTGTCAGTTAAACGCCCCAAAGTTCCTGACGCGACTCAAGGCTGCAGTAGCTCACTGAGCTAAAGCCTAAGAGTATAATCTCTGGGAGATAACATAACTTGTCAGGTGTCAGTGAAGGTTTGCCATCCTGTGGTAGAGTGTAGAATGGTGGATAGGTAGACAGACAGGTGGATGGGTAAAGGTAGACAGACAGGTTACCTGTGTTTGTGATGATGTGTCCACTCCTGTTTGTCAGCCAGGTGACTCAACTTCACCCGCATCCCCTTTGCTCTGAAACACACACACACACACACACACACACACACATACATACACACATACACACACACACACATACACACACATTTAGTTTGTGCTCTATATCTAGAGGTCTAATCAAAAGACTATAACACAACAGCTAAATGTTTACAACAATCACATCAACCTTCTGCTTCAACAATCACATCAACCTTCTGCTTCAACAATCACATCAACCTTCTGCTTCAACAATCACATCAACCTTCTGCTTCAACAAAACACAGTGGTCTCTCTTTAGAAACTATGATGCATCCTCACACACTACACAGTACATACTACACACTACATACTACACACTACACACTACACAGTACATACCAGTGGAGGCTGCAGAGGGGAGGACGGCTCTTAATAATGGCTGGAAAGGAGCTAATGGAATAGCATCAAACCATGTGTTTGATGTATTTGATACCATCCCACTAATTCCGCTCCAGCCATTACCACGAGCCCGTCCTCCCCAATTAAGGTGCCGCCAATCTCCTGTGCTACATACTACACATTACATACTACACACTACACACTACATACAGTACTACATACTTCCATACTCACTTCTCCAAGCATGACGAAGGAAGGGAGGACAGTCCTTTACACATTATAGAACGTGGGACAGGACAGCAAAGATAATTAATGAAACAAAACCAAATAAATGTATAACCAGCTTTTGTAGCCTGTTGTGTGCTCCTTCCTCTCCTGTTGTAGCCTGTTGTGTGCTCCTTCCTTCCTGTCCTGTGTCTGTGCACCAACTAACCCCCTACAGTGTATCAGTCCTTTAATATAGCTGCTTATCACACCTGTTCATCTACCACACATCAGAGAACAGAATGGAGGAGGAGGATGGAGGGATGGGGGAGAGATGGAGGGTAATGTAAGAGAGGTCTACGTGCTCACCGACAACACCTGGCCGTTAATGTACCGGAACCGCCACACCGGGAAAAGAAAGACGGGCCAGCACACACAATGAGGTAATTAGGAGATAGTGTGTGTGTCAGAGATCAAATGGCCAGTCTGTCAGCATGTGTGTTCTCACTTCTCAGCCAACCAGTCCATTCACCAGAGAGAGGGCTGATGACAGAGGAACAGGTGGTACACTGGCATCCCCACTCCATCTATGGAAAGTGTGTGTGTGTGTGTGTGTGTGTGGCTTGGTTCGTGGGGACATTTCCCACTTCCCCATGATGACAAAGGCTATTTTAAGCTTAGGGGTTAGATTTAGGGTTATGTTTAGAATTAGGGTTAGGGTAAAGGGTTAGTGGTTAGGGTTAGGAGTTAGGTTTAGGGTTACGGGTTAGGTTTAGGGAAAATAGGATTTTGAATGGAAATTAATTTCAGGTCCCCACTAGGATAGAAGAACATAATGTGCATGTGTGAGTGGAGAGAGAGAGAGAGAGAGAGAGAGAGAGAGAGAGAGAGAGAGAGAGAGAGAGAGAGAGAGAGAGAGAGAGAGAGAGAGAGAGAGAGAGAGAGAGAGAGAGAGAGAGAGAGAGAGAGTGTGAGAGAGAGAGAGACAGAGAGAGAGAAAGAGACAGAGTGTGTGTGTGAGAGAGAGAGAGAGAGAGAGAGAGAGACAGGTGTGAATAGTTGTAACAGGTGTGACTAGTTGATATAAGCGCAGATGGTTGGGTGTATGTGTGGACATTTGTTTGAGAAGGCTACTTAACTTAATTTGAGCATGTGTGTGTGTGTGCCCATATCTGTGAGTGTTACTGCAACACAGGACCATGTTATTGTTGCAAACATGGTTTATAAAGAGGCATTCCTGGCGTCAGTCCAACACAGAGAGATTCATAATGTACTGAAATAAAACATTATATAGGCCTACAGAATGTGATATAGAAAATGCACAATGTCAATCAACTGTGCACCTGTTCACTGTCATAGACTGAATAACTCCACTCCAATAGCTTACTACGATATTTCGGGATTGTATTATGAGAGCCAGAGTCCCACCATTGACTACTAGACAGTTTCAACAGTGTTTTTCAATTCCCCTTGGGTCTCTGTGTGTGGGGACTGAACTAAATGCTTGTCCCTCGTAGTCTACAGAAGGCTAGGCTACGGCGCAGACTCGACTCTTCACTTTCTCAGCTGACGCGACGGCGACGGTTTCTGACCTGAAGCAAGGTGACATTAGGAGCATTAGCCCGGATAATATCTTAATAATACCGACACAGACCAACCATTTGCAACGCTGCAAACTGCGCACTTGCTGTCACATCCGGACGAATCATAACGTCAGGACCGCGCATTGCGAACCCCAGTGGTTGGTGTGCGTCCCTAAAAAGCCAAGAGGACGACATGTATAGGCCTAATCTTTGAACGTCCCGGGCATATCCGTTACCGAGATGAATTAGACACGGGATTAAGGTTTCGGTTCTGGCAGTTTGCCGCGCGGTTTGGTGTTTAACCACGCTCCGTGGTTTCTAAAAGCACCGAAAGAAGGAAGGGCTTTCTGTCTTTGCTACAATGTTAGGTTACCGTCGCCTCCTGGTTTCTTGACGATAAATAAACAACTATTTACAACCAATTACGGAATAAAAACGTATGTTAAAGCTTTGAGATTCTGTACAGCATGACCGCGAATGGAAACGGGCGTCACGGGGAGCGCGTTGTGAGGTCCACCGCTGGATTGTTTTTAATCAGCACATCTGTTTCTGTCCTTCTCCCGAGAGATTTACTGACTGGCTGACAGCGTGAGTAGCCTGACTATTAATAAACATTTTTTATCCTGATTTGGACATCCGGACGCCGATGACTCTATAGGCTATTCCAACGGGATCTAACCGACGCAGGCAACCGTCACCACGCATGGGGCAGCCGGGGGCTCGGATCCCCCGGGGCTGGAGGACCCAAGCCCGCTGCCAGGAGGATGTCGACCCGGAGAGGGAGAAGCAATGGGTGGAACTGTTCGACGAACTGGACTTGAACAGTGATGGAGTCATCGATATCCACGAGCTCCGGGTGGGACTGGCGAAACGGGGGCTCTCCCGCCGCGCGGTGGACCGGGTAAGCGAGCCCAGGCAGCAACTCGGCTGTCATTCGGTATACCTTGATGATGATCACGAATAACGTTTTTTACGTGAAACGTTTGGCTATAGCCTAAATTAACACTGTGGGGCTTCCCCCAAGCCATCACCAGCCACTAATTGCATTTTGTGTGTATGTGTGTGATGTCAATGATTATGATTCCCCCATGTACCTGCATCACCCATACTGCTCCACCTCTTCCATATTCTATCCTATTCTACTCTATTCTATTCTATCCTACTGTATTCTATTAGACCTCTACAGGTCAGACAGTAGTCTGGGCTGAAGGTAGATTGGATATGTATTTGACTGTATTAGGCTCAGACAAGAACCGTATAGACAAGGGATCGGCAACTCCAGTCCTCGGAGCCGGAGTGCTGTCACACTTTTCCCCCATCCCTAGCAAACACAGCTGATTAAACTAATTGCAATTTAAACTGAAGATCAAAATTTCAATTATTATTGGAGTCAGGTGTGTTAGCTGGGGCTGGGGCAAAAGTTTGACACCAATCAGGGCACCGAGGACTGCAGTTGCCCATCCCTGGTATAGGTTATACGGAGGTAACCTGAATGCCAGTCTGTTTGTGCTATCATGCCAACTCCTTGTCATGCCAAACATGTCTTGACAATGACAGCAATGGAGCTGGCAAAAGCCCTAACACATCTGGGACCACCAGGCTAAATGAAGATAGTTAACCTCCTGAGCTGACTCATCTCATTTAACAGATCAATGACTGATCAATGATCACCATTATTGATTAATTGGAAGGTGAATGTTTTCAGCGTGGAGCAACTACATCTGAACTCTGGCTGAACTCTCAACTCTGACTGCGATGGGATGTAGGCCTATAGACAAAGATGGTGGATAAATGAAGATAGTTCATTCAGGACGTTTACTATTGAAAAAAATGGTCTGTTTCGGTCTGTTTAAGACCCCCATCAAAATCCTTCAGTTTAAGCTATATCAAACGCACAGCCATACACTCTCCATAGACTAACATTGGCAGTAGAACGGCCTTACTGAGGAGCTCAGTGACCTTCAACGTGGCACCGTCATAGGATGGCACCTTTCCAACAAGTCAGTTCGTCAAATGTCTGCCCTGCTAGAGCTTCCCCGGTCAACTGTAAATGCTGTTATTGTGAAGTGGAAACTTCTAGGAGCAACAACGGCTCAGCCGCGAAGTGGTAGGCCACACAAGCTCCCAGAACGGGTCCGCCCAGTGCTGAAGCGGGCGGGACATAAAAATGGTCTGTCCTCGGTCGCAACACTCTCTACCGAGTTCCAAACTGCCTTTGGAAGCAACGTCAGCACAAGAACTGTTCATTTGGAGCTTCATGAAATGGGTTTCCATGGCCGAGTAGACGCACACAAGCCAAAGATCACAATGCGTAATGCCATTGGCCTTATATTTTCACCACATTAAGATTATTTAATGATAATATTGTAAATAAGCACAGAAATTGCCCAGTCTGGAAACATATACACTGCTCAAAAAAATAAAGGGAACACTTAAACAACACAATGTAACTCCAAGTCAATCACACTTCTGTGAAATCAAACTGTCCACTTAGGAAGCAACACTGATTGACAATACATTTCACATGCTGTTGTGCAAATGGAATAGACAACAGGTGGTTTTGCAGGTGGTGACCACAGACCACTTCTCAGTTCCTATGCTTCCTGGCTGATGTTTTGGTCACTTTTGAATGCTGGCGGTGCTTTCACTCTAGTGGTAGCATGAGACGGAGTCTACAACCCACACAAGTGGCTCAGGTAGTGCAGCTCATCCAGGATGGCACATCAATGCGAGCTGTGGCAAGAAGGTTTGCTGTGTCTGTCAGCGTAGTGTCCAGAGCATGGAGGCGCTACCAGGAGACAGGCCAGTACATCAGGAGACATGGAGGAGGCCGTAGGAGGGCAACAACCCAGCAGCAGGACTGCTACCTCCGCCTTTGTGCAAAGAGGAGCAGGAGGAGCACTGCCAAAGCCCTGCAAAATGACCTCCAGCAGGCCACAAATGTGCATGTGTCTGCTCAAACGGTCAGAAACAGACTCCATGAGGGTGGTATGAGGGCCCGACGTCCACTTACAGCCCAACACCGTGCAGGACGTTTGGCATTTGCCAGAGAACACCAAGATTGGCAAATTCGCCACTGGCGCCCTGTGCTCTTCACAGATGAAAGCAGGTTCACACTGAGCACATGTGACAGACGTGACAGAGTCTGGAGACGCCGTGGAGAACGTTCTGCTGCCTGCAACATCCTCCAGCATGACCGGTTTGGCGGTGGGTCAGTCATGGTGTGGGATGGCATTCTTTGGGGGGCCGCACAGCCCTCCATGTGCTCGCCAGAGGTAGCCTGACTGCCATTAGGTACCGAGATGAGATCCTCAGACCCCTTGTGAGACCATATGCTGGTGCGGTTGGCCCTGGGTTCCTCCTAATGCAAGACAATGCTAGACCTCATGTGGCTGGAGTGTGTCAGCAGTTCCTGCAAGAGGAAGGCATTGATGCTATGGACTGGCCCGCCCGTTCCCCAGACCTGAATCCAATTGAGCACATCTGGGACATCATGTCTCGCTCCATCCACCAACGCCACGTTGCACCACAGACTGTCCAGGAGTTGGCGGATGCTTTAGTCCAGGTCTGGGAGGAGATCCCTCAGGAGACCATCCGCCACCTCATCAGGAGCATGCCCAGGCGTTGTAGGGAGGTCATACAGGCACATGGAGGCCACACACACTACTGAGCCTCATTTTGACTTGTTTTAAGGACATTACATCAAAGTTGGATCAGCCTGTAGTGTGGTTTTCCACTTTAATTTTGAGGGTGACTCCAAATCCAGACCTCCATGGGTTGATACATTTGATGTCCATTGATAATTTTTGTGTGATTTTGTTGTCAGCACATTCAACTATGTAAAGAAAAAAGTATTTAATAAGATTATTTCATTCATTCAGATCTAGGATGTGTTATTTTAGTGTTCCCTTTATTTTTTTGAGCAGTGTAGTCATTAACGGTGCA